GGGTGGAACATTTTGATTCATCCGAACCACTTCATTTTTAGATTTTTTTTATTATTTTTTTTTGGGGGGGGTGGGGGTAGTTGACAGAATTTATTTCATGTAGCTGTTTGGCCTGGATGAGTTTTGGTACCCAAAATTTAGGGAAAGCAATTCAGAGAGTCAAAAGAGCAGGATAAATGGTGACTATTACTGTGCTGACATGCAAAAACAGCTACAATAATGGCTACGCAATAAAGATATATTTACAATATGAGATGAATATATATTTAGATTTTTAAAATGTGAGAAAGTGAGAGAACTACGTTTTATAATTAGTGATTATGATCTTTTCCCTCTTGTTATCTTTTTAAGATTGCAGTCTTTTCCCATTTGTTATTTTGAAATAATGAAAAATGGGGAGGAGGGGATTTTTCAAACAATTTAAGGGAAAAGTCAGTGAGCAATTGACCACCCACTCACACATTTCACTCTGACAATAACAAAGCTTTTCCTCACATCCAGTTTGTAGTGTCAGTGACTGTCCTTGTTTGGAAAATAAACACAGTGCCCTATCAGCTTCTCCAAACTGTATCTGTAGTAAGAGTCAGGCAGAGCAAAACCACTATAATGAAAGGCCTTTAAAAAAAAGGGGGGGAGGCTGTATCAGCAGCAGCATGGTTAATTTAATTACAATTTTTTTTCGGTAAAAAAAGACCTGGCACACTCAATATGGGAAGAATTCACTTATGCAAGAAACTGCAGCCACTTATTGTTTATATTACTGAGGGAAGAAGCTTGGAGAACATGGAGTGGCAGAGAAGCACACTGCAAATCAAATAATCCATCTATTACTAGAAATACAATAAAAATAAGTGGGTGTAAATGGCCCCGGCAGAAGCAGCTAGGCAAGAGGAATGTTTATTTTCTATTTTGTTTTTTCATTTTTAACTCACCGGTGGATGAGGAGTCTGACTGTTCCTGTCCAGCCTGCCTCTGTCAACTACTGGCAATATCCTCACTATCCCCACTGCTCTGCTTACAGGTGGTAGTAGAAGCAGAGGTGGTAACATTTGTGGGTTGTGACAACTGCATAGAAACATATATATCAGCAGTAGACCTGCAGTCTGCTCTTGTACTTTCCTGTTCTGCCTTTTCCCTACAGACTTGTAGTAGCTTTGCAGACGTCGATTCATACCTGCACTAATGAGATGATCTTTGCATCACAATTTGCAGTTAGGCCTTCTTGGATGCACTCAAAGTCACAACATTAGCCTGTACGCTAGCATTTGGTTGATACATGCTAATGGAAATGTTGATTGTGATGGCACATGTTAATGGTGGTGGTGATAACACTGAGAGTAGATAAACTACTTGTGCCAGTGGTAGCAGGTGCAGCTGATGTCACACCTGTCTCAGTTGGATGAAGTTGTTCTAAAGCAGATACAGATAGATAGAGACTTGGAGATGGTGGATAAGGTGCAGAAGGTGAGCTCACAGTAGCCCCCTCCTCCCCTTCTAATTCCTCTGGCTCAGCAAACCCATAGTCGATTAGTTCCTGGGCCAGAATAAAATGTGCTATGTCTGCAGTGGTGCAAGACCCAGAATTCTCATCACTGGATTCATTACCTCCACCGACAACAGACACGTTTTGACAAAGGCCTCATAGTGAGACCAAAATGTTGTTTTTACTCCAATAAGGGTGCTTAACTGAAACTGTTGTGTGCCCATACTTTTTTGAATTACTTGACTCCATTAATGTTACAGTTTCCCTAATGATAATGTGATGGGGATGTCAAGTGAAGAGGGTGTATCACTTACCACAGTACATATTCTAATAAGTGTAAAACCAATAAAGCTTGTATTTTTCTAACAATAAATAGAACAGTTAGACCTAGATTTTCAGCACTGCCTAAGAGAAAATATATTTGCAAAATGTTTACCAGCAGTGAGCTTAAATCTTCGGTGAAGCTGAATATGCATGGCCTAGCTTTACTGCTCTAATTAAGTCAATTCACTCCACATGCCAGATTGGCAGAGGGCTTACTGCTACTACTGTCATCCTAACTGAAGCATTCTGAGCTTGCTGGGCGCACGTCTATGCTGTCCAAGAATCGAAAATAAGGTTGTTTTTTTTTACTGCTTGTGCTCAGACTGGTTACATTTTGTGAAGCAAAGCACTTCCTCTGCCAGACACAGCACAAGTCTGGCACAATACTCCTTGGCATCCTTTGCTGATCACAGACACTTGCTAAAAATTAGTAGAGTGATTTTTTTTATATATTGTTTTACAGGTTTCTTGGAAAAATGCAATATGTAAGCCACAAAAAAATTATTGTGATCTCGCTTTTGATTTGCAAACCACAAACAATTGAATACTTACTAGTATGTCACTTTTTTAGATCCTAGTTTTGTTTCAACTATGAACAATCTGACACAATGTGTTGATTTCTGTCAAACATTCAAAACAATTTTGTTTTATTTATTTATTTATTTAACATTTCGGGTAAAGTGCAAATAAAACAGTTTATTCACCAAAATGGTATGTACATAGAATACACAATGTTGTGAAACTTGGGTTTGACACTTCATTATACAGTGGACTAGTTGGTAAAAATAAAGGTACTAACTATACTAAGCTAGTAATTCATTCATACAAAAATCATTTGTATTTTACATGAATATAAAAGCAAAAGAGGTAAACATGAAAGGTTTAGTCACAAGACCAATAACTATTCTGTAAAATTACTATGGCAACCCTAGCATAGAAATGACTCCCAAACATCATATTAAAAGATATAGATCATAGACCTATATAGTCTATCATCGACACCCAATACATTTGCACAACACAAATAGTTTACTTTTTGACTGAAGTCACAGAACAAGACATAGAAGATATAGACTCAAAATAACACTAACATGGTGGAGAAGAGGAAGTCAAGTACCTATTTCTCTTTATTATTGACTTTGGTCTTTTTGGTTTTCAGACCAGAAACCCAAGCAACAACATCAGAAAAAAATATATAATGCTTTGGTCAGTATCAGGAAGAGAAACAGTGTCTACAGGGATTTCATGGGGGGGAGAAGCAATGACATAGCACGCACGCACGCTCCTGGTGGCGCGAAGGGAGAAGCCCGATAGAGGCAAGGGACTCATGGTAGACGCATAAAAGCCGGAGATGTATGGGAGCCTGTTAGTTGGTGAATCAGTGAGACTATGAGTTGGAAGCAGGTGGATGCCTCGAAGCAGTTTGTAATGCTGGGAACTTCGATAATTGGTAAAACCCTTAGATGGTAGATGCAGCGGCAGTATTTCTAAGACCCACGTGTGAGGCATCAAATTCGTCAGGTTGGAGAACAAAAGACAACAGTGCTCCTGCTGGAATTCATACCTCTACATAAGAGAGTGTATAATAAGGAGACCGCAGAGCATTGTGCAAGTGCTAAGGGATTGGAAGTCCCCAGAGAAGTGGATATCTCAAGCGATTTACAGAGATTAGTAACATATATTTCAATTGTTGATTGCACTCCATTACTCCATTTTGTGACAGTTTGTCACATTTGGTTTTTGTTTTCTATTTTTTATTTTGTCTCTACAATTTGTGGCTTGTATCATCTGACTGGGTAAAGAAGATTGCACCATACTTACTTTATGGAAGAAAGTTCTACATTTATTTTTTAAGTATACATTTACATTTCCTTTGCAATTTGTGACTGGTATCACCTGACTGGATACAGGAGAAGCCCTACATATAATGTTTTTCAGTATATACTAAGTGGAGCATCTTTTGATTCTATTCTGTAACGCAGCTGGTTCCACTATTTACCACAATAACGTCTTAAAGCATAGAACTTAGCAGGGCTTACCATACAGATATCTTAGCCATAATTTTATATAGTCAGTAAGAGATCCTCTATTTAAAATATATGAATAATTGTGAATACAATATAAAATAAGGATTGTCTTGGAAGCAATAATATTTTGTCTTTTAGATTTTTTATTAAATAAAAATATAAATATAGACATATAAAATACATTACAATAATTTATAGCAGAGTTTAAAAGATTAAAAGATTACAAGTCATCATGTCAGCCTCTCTGTCATTTTAAGATAGAGCAGCATGTGTCTCCAAATCTCTCCTCTCTGTGTTTTCTAATATTCAAAAGTACACCTATTTATACCTTAGTTGTCTTTATTTTAGGGTTACTGTAGTTCATACATGAAAAAGTAACACTTTTGTTTTTGTTTATTCTAGGGACCTCCCTTAACTTGGCAAAAATACAAGGCCATAACCAGTGGCGTACACATGACCCATGGGGCCCCGGTGCGAAAATTGATCCGTGGGCCCCTCCCGCGCCCGGGCCGGGCCGCAACACATGGCGTTGGGCACCTGGTCGCAGGGGTTACAGGGCTGCGACCCCTGCGACCGTGGTATGTACGCCAGTGTATGCAGATGCACACACACTTAAAGGACCACTACAGACACCCAGATCACATCAGCTCAATGAAGTTGTCTGGGTGTCAGGTCCCTCTAGTTTTAACCCTGCAGCTGAAAACATAGCAGTTTCAGAGAAACTGCTATGTTTCACTGAGGATTAATCCAGCCTCTAGTGGCTGTCTCACTGACAGCCGCTAGAGGAGCACACTGAATGTCCATAGGAAAGCATTGAGTAATGCTTTCCTATGGGCGGTTTGAATGCGTGCGCGGTCGCATTCGGAGCTGAGAGGCTGAGGGATCCCCAGCGCCAAGGGAGTCCGGCGCTGGAGAAAGGTAAGTGCTGAAGACACACACACTCTCACTTACAGACGCATACACACTAGCTAACAGACACACACATTTACTGACAGAGACACACTCAGCGACAGACATACATACACACTCACTTACAAAACATACACTCTCATTGACAAACAAACTCACTAACAGACATCAAACAGACTCACTAACACACACACACTCAGTAAGACACACACAGTAACACACTCACTGACACTCACTAGCAGACACACACACTAACACTCACTCTAACACTCACACACACTAACACTCACACACACTAACACTCACACTAACACTCACTAGCAGACACAAACACTACCACTCACACACACTCTAACACTCACACTCACACTAACACTCTAACACTCACTCTAACACTCACTCTAACACTCTAACACTCACTCTAACACTCACTCTAACACTCACACACACTCTAACACTCACTCTAACACTCACTCTAACACTCACACACACTCTAACACTCACACTTTAACACTCACTCTAACACTCACTCTAACACTCACACACACTCTAACACTCACACTCTAACACTCACACTCTAACACTCACTCTAACACTCACTCTAACACTCACACTCTAACACTAACACTCACACATGGTTTTTTTATTTTAAATTTAATCCCCCCAGCCTCCTTACCTTTTGGAGTGCTGGGGGGATTCCCTGGGGTCCAGTGGTGCTGCTGGGCTGGCTGTCTGGCCGGCGCACGAGGGAGCACTCAGTGCTTCCTCTTCAGCTCCCTCGCGCGCCGCGTAGGGATGCCGGCGCCAAAAGATGACGTCATCTTCCGGCTCCGGTATCAGTGCGGTGCGCGAGGGAGCTGAAGAGGAAGCACTGAGTGCTCCCTCGCGCGCGCGCCTGCCCGACCGGCCACCCGCCCGCCGGGGTCAGCAGGGCCAACCTCGGGGGGCCCTGGGGTGGTCGGCTCCTGGGCCCCCCAGGGGAAGAGGCTGGCCCAGTGGGTGCACACTGGGTCGCAGGGGTGGCCGGGCCCCCTGGTGGGCAGGGCCCGGTCGCAGCCACGACCCCTGCGACCCTGGTATGTACGCCACTGGCCATAACTAAAATTAAAGGGTGCACACGTATTGGGAATTCCCTGACTTAGGACAAGATGGCATCTTAAAGTCTGAACATCTTTATCTATTTAGGGTTACCACAGTATATTTTGTACTGAAAGAGTCGTAGCATAGCCTTGAAGCTTGTTTATGCATTATAGTTATTGTATTTCGTCTGGGACAAAATGGCGTAAACATATTATGCACTGAAAGTAGGTAAAAGCTTATTGCTTAAAGAAACATGTATGAAAAACAATATGTTCCCTTTCTAACACCTTGTCCGTTTGCAATATCTCTTACAGACAAAGTTTGAGAAACACACTATTTGCATTTGCCCATAACAATTCCATTGTACCCTATTACATTTTCTGTTTTTGCATTCTATTTTTCTCTGCAATGTGTGGCTTGTACCATTGACTGGTTACAGAAAAAAGTCCTGTATACTACCTACTCAGTATATATATATATATATATATATATATATATATATATATTCTTCTGCAATTTAAGGCCTGTATTACTTGATTGGATACAGAAGACAAGTCTTATATATCACTTTTTTGGAGTATTTATTTTTTTCATCTAAAGGAGAGAGCCTAAATTAAATGTACAAGCAGGTTGTGTGTAGCTCTGTGATTAGAGGTGGACCTGCGCTTAAAAGAGTCAAGGTGACACAGCAAATTACATACTTTTTCTAAGGAGACAAATACATTGGCTTACAACGCCAAATAATGGCCCCCAAAAAGAGTTCAGTCTTGATATGCTTGTTACTACATATATGTTACTGCTTAATAAGCTTAGCAGGTCTAGCACTTATTCAGTCTACACTTAAATGCACGTGTCCAGCCCTTAAGTACGTTATCATCCCTATGCAAGCTACTACCATGCTATTAGATCTTCCAGTGTTAACAGCCTGCCGACAATGGACATCAGCTACGCAAACCCACACACGATGCCTACAGTTAGCTTAATTTGTTTATTGGTTTGTTCTTTCCTTTCTAGTTTCTTTCTTCAACGCTGCAATTGAAAATGCATGCTTCCACGCAAGGGTTTACTACCCTCAATAGGTTTAATATAGCAACGCAATCGAACCCATCAAGTTTACCACATATGCCAAGCATTCTAACCACCGTGCATTTCCCATAACTGACATAGCACTAGATATAATGCTGTTAAACTTGGTTAAATACCCACTCACCCTATAAAGACTAGCACACCACATTGCCACTCACGGGCACAGTGTCTCTAGTATTGTTTGTCATGCAACCGGTACCGAGGTTCTCAATTCTAGCCTGTAACTTTACATGCACTGGCACTGGTACAGAGTATTGTTGGCGAGCACGATCAAATCATACACTACCTTGTTCCGTATTCATGTCTCCTTGATCTTAATTCACCAACAAGCGCATTGATTAGTTTGTATACGTTTGTCACAAAAAAAAAGTGCAATTATCTCATGCCATGACAATGATTTTTCCTGTAATGTAATGCAATGCTTGTCGACGCTGTTGTGGCGTCCCAGGACTGTTTATTCATCTTTGCACAATGAAAATAAAGAATTTTTTTTAAAAAAGAGTTCAGTCAGTCGGGCTCTGAAAAAAGACAAAAAAGAGATCGAAGATGTTAAATCTGAAAAAAGGTTGTCAAATTTTGTTACCCCACAATCTCCAAGCATGGGGGAAATAAGTGAAGGTGCCTCATTTATTCAAGCTGAAGATAGATAAAATAATATCCTTTCTGTTAATGAGATGCAGGCAATGTTCTCTGAAATCTTGGAAAAAGGTCAACAGCTATTACTTGAAAAAATCTCCTTAGAGCTTCAAAATAATGTTAAAGAGATAAAAAAACATATTGCTGCAATAAACCAAAAAACGACAAATATTGAAGAAAGGTTAGATTCTCTGGACTTTCAACAAAGCAAGATGCATATACTATATGATCAATTATCTAGAGAATATGGTGATCTGGAACAAAAAAATATGTGATTTAGAAGACTGCAGTTGGCAGAATAATATCTGTATTAGAGGGATCAACAAACAAGTCGCAGGAGATAAATTACAGGAATATTTGCTTAATTTTTTTCCGGAACATTGGTATGGCTTTTGAGCCATATAAGAAAATAATGGATAAATTCCATCGCCTGGCCAGACCAAAGGGGATACCAATAACGGTCTTTAGAGACGTTATCATATGCTTCCATAATTATTGGTTCAAAGAACAGGCTATGCTCAAACACAGATCCAAAATGGAGACAAAAGCAAATTATACTTATCAACAGTTGAAAATATTGCAAGATTTGTCTTGGCATACAAGAAAAGGAAGAAGATCTTTTGGGACAGTAACTAATATTCTGAGAAACAATCAGATAAAGTATAAATGGGGATACCCGACTAAATTAATAGTAATGCAGGGGAATGACATAGAAATTTTCTCCGACCCCCAAAAGGCATCTTTGTGGCTCCAAAAGAAATCTTTGCAATAATTATAAATATGGGTTCATCAGAAAATGGCTTCTATGTGTGTTTCTTTCTGTAATAATAACTTGAATCTAACCTAATAGACTAATAGAAAGTATCCCTCTAAAACAATTCTCAACCACCCCATAATAAGTAATACTTACACTGGTATAATTTAAGGTAATAAATAATAGAGGGGATATGATTATGATAGGGGATCACAAGTGGAGAACAGGAATATAGTACATAGGATGCTGACGCATACTTTTAAAACATAAATAACAAAATTGTGAGAATTGCACTAGTATTAGTAATTCTCCGAGCAACATATTTCACTATAATGCACAGTAAGGATATGGAGGAAGGGTCACTAAGGAGATAGAATTAACATGGGGAAGTCAGGGAGATAGAAAGAAGATAAGATACAAGATCACCTGAAATAATGCGAAGAATAGAATTTGTAACGGAACTCCCCGTACTCCGACCGAGTACCTTCCGTTAATGGACGCTTCCTAGCCTGCGCCGAGGACCACATGCACCGCACTGGACACCACAACCACTGCAGACTCCACAACCGCCGTAGCTTAACTGGAGTCTCGCCGTCTTCTGTCCACCCTGGATCGGCTTCTGTCCTCCAGGACCGTGTGGGGAAGACATCTCCTCCAGGAGAGCGTATCAGGAACAAGCTCTTAAAAGAGCTAAGTGATTAAAGCTCAAGGGAGTATGCAGAGCATAGCAATCCCCAGTGTGATTATAGCAGTTCCCTCCAATAACGAGATGAGGCTACGTTTTCAAGGGTAAAGAAGAACTGTCTGTACTGGCACATACAGCCTCTTTTATTCACATTCTACGTTCTATGGCTATATGAAAAATAATTACTGTTAAATGTGTCCCCTGTTCTGTAGTTTAAAACTACTGAACTATGTCTTTGTGTACCAAATACCGGCGAGATGGCACCGTGTAGAAAAGTCAAAACAGTGTCTGTGAGTTAAAATGGCTGCCATCCATTGTTCTCACCATGTGCTTCATCCATTGTTCTCACCATGTGCCTCTGATACATGAAATGGTGGCCACCCAGTAACTCCACAGTTTGTCTGATAGTCTATCCAGCCGAACCAACAGATGAAACACATGGGGAACAGTGCAACAAACGAAGGGAATCATAAAAAATATGGCCAGTAGTCATATTTGTGCACAATCTCCAGCTTTGTCACAGGGCACAAATAGTGTTTTCAAATGCAATATATCCCAGGCCATAGTCATGTGGCAGGAGGCTGCAATCAGTCCTCTCCAATGCCCAGTGGCAAATGGCAGTTTGTCACAGAATTGTTTCACAGAAATTGATTGATGCATAGTTTAGCCAATAAACATATAGAATAGGATTGACATTTTTATATATTCTAATTATTTTGTAACAATCATATTTCACGCCATATTATGGTAAAGGTATGGTGACCGGGAAAGAAGATGGTAAGGGGATGTCGAAAAGGGAAGAACCTATTATTATTATTATTATTATGATGATATTTATAGTGCTCTGTCAAGATCCGCAGCGCTTTACAATGGGTGGACGAACGGACATTTAGTTGTAACCAGACAAGTTGGACACACAGGAACAGAGGGGTTGAGGGCCCAGCTCAATGAGCTTACATGCTAGAGGGAGTGGGGTAAAATGACACAAAAGGGTAAGGATAGTATTAGACTAATGACAGTTGCAGAAGAGCAATCAATCAGGAGCTATTAACAGTTTAATGGATACGCTTTTTTGAAGAAGTGGGTTTTTAACGATTTTTTGAAGGAGTGGAGACTGGGTGAGCATCTAACGGAGGAGGGAAGCGAGTTCCACAGGAACGGTGCAGCCCTCGAGAAATCTTGAAGGCGAGCATCAGAGGTGGGAGTGCGGACAGAAGATAGACGTAAGTCTTCAGCAGATCGTAAGGGCCTAGACGGACATACTTGTGTATAAGGGAGGATAGATAGGTGGGAGCAGCATTATGTAGAGATTTGAAAGCAAGAACCAGAATTTTAAATTGAGCTCTATATTTTATAGGAAGCCAATGTAGGGACTGACAGAAGGGTGAGGTATGGGAGGTGCGGGCGGACAGGAAGATGAGCCTCGCCGCCGCATTCATTATGGACTGTAACGGCGCTAGTTGGGAGCACATAAGACCACTGAGAAGTGGATTACAGTAGTCAAGACGAGAAAGGACAGTGGAATGGACCAACACCTTAGTCGCATCTGGCGTTAAGTAGGGGCGGATGCGTGCAATGTTTTTGAGATGGAAATGACAGGATTTGACGATAGATTGAACATGAGGCTTGAAGGAGAGGTCGGAGTCAAAGAGAACACCTAGGCAGCGAGCCTGCGTGGTGGAGCTGATGGTAGCACCTTTGACTTGGAGGGAGACAGACACAGGAGTAACAACACTTGAGGGAGGAAAGACTAGAATTTCAGTTTTGGTCGAGTTTAGTTTAAGGAAGTGGGCAGCCATCCAGTTAGAAACAGCAGAGAGGCAGTCAGAGACACTGGTCAAGAGGGACGGGGAGAGATCAGGAGAGGACAGGTAGATTTGCGTGTCATCTGCATAGAAATTATATTGGAAGCCAAAGGAGCTAATGAGTTTACCAAGGGAGGCAGTATAGATGGAGAACAGTAGGGACCAAGGACTGAACCTTGGGGGACACCAACAGAGAGGAGTTGGGGAGAAGAAGCAGAGCCAGAGAAAGAAACACTGAAAGAGCGCTGGGAGAGGTAGGAGGAGCACCAAGAGAGAGCAGTATCTTGTAGACCGATATTGCGGAGGATGAGAAGAAGCTGTTGATGATCAACAGTGTCAAAAGCCGCAGACAGGTCAAGGAGAATTAGGATAGTGACCACGAGATTTTGCAGTGAGGAGATCATTGGATACTTTGGTCAGTGCCGTTTCCACAGAGTGCTTAGTTCGGAAACTAGACTGAAGTGGGTCTAGCAGAGAGTTGGACTCGAGGAAGTCTGTCAATCTCGCATACACAATTTTTTCAAGGATCTTGGATGCAAAAGGCAGTAGCGAGATAAGACGATAGTTGGATGGGGAGTTAGGGTCAAGATTGGGCTTCTTTAGCATTGGGGTTACAGTTGCATGTTTGAAGGACAATGGAAATATACCAGAGGAGAGAGAGAGATTGAGAATTTTAGTGAGAGGTGGAGAAAGAGAAGAAGACAGAGTACGGATGAGATGCGATGGAATTGGATCTAGGGAGCAGGTGGTGGGGCGGGAGGACTGGAGCAGAGCAGAAACTTCTTCCAATGTAGCGGGTGCGAATGAACATAGAACAGCAAGTGAAGTTAGGGGGAAGTATTATAAGGGGAAGAAGAAAGATGAGATATCTCTTCTCTGATTGTAGAGATCTTGTCAGTGAAGGGAGTTGCAAAGTCTGAGGTGGTCAAGTTAGTAGGTGGAGGAGGAACAGCAGGGCGAAGAAGAGAGTTAAATGTGTGAAATAGTCATTTGGGTTCTATTAGTAGATTGTTGGTCTAATATTATATGTGATAGGATCATATGCATTCAAAACTTAATACTTATGAGCATAATAATACAACTGTGCATATAAGTTAGAATATCTTAGGGAGATGAGTTTTATTAGAATATTATGATTTAAATCCCATAAAAAAACAACTCAAGAGTTACCGCCTTTGTTGGGCTAAACCTTTATTGCGCCTCCTAGTATAGAGATGCTATGAGTTGTAGTCTCTGTTGTTTACTGTGTATACAGGGCTTGTATACAGGGTATCCATGTATATGAACATGGATTGTGGGGTTTGGGCTAGGGTTCCATGTTGACCCTATGTATTTTTACATTGTATGTAATGTATTGTCTATGCCAGTCATCAGGATTAAGCCAGTTTCATACTTACTGAAAGATGGTTAAAATGCTTACTATTAACACTCAAGGTCTCAATAGCCCCTTTAAAAGAACAGCTCTTATAGAATTGATTAAAGAAGAGCAAATTCAGGTATGCTTTTTACAAGAGACCCATTGGGTGCAGTCGGATAGAAAAGTTTATTTAGGTAAGCAAAAGGTGGTACTGATTAGGGCATCGATGGAGGGGGGGAAATAGAGGGGTCGCCATATGGATAGTGAAAGGCATTTCTTATGAGAAAATATACCAGGAATGGATCCTCAGGCCAGATTTATCACTTTAATATGTAAACTCGATAATGTTCTATACACTCTGGTTAATATATGTACAGCCAATATTGGAAAAGTGACCTTTGTGAGAGATATTATCAAGAAAATAGAACAGATAGCTAAGGGCAGATTGATAATTGTGGGCTATTATAATTGTGTAAGGCACACTGAATGGGACAAGAGGATTCCTACAGGAGAACAGATAGATGGTGTGCTGGTCGGGAGGGCTAGGGCTCTCTCCACTCTCTTAAAAAAAGGCAACTTTATATCATGTTTGGAGACTGCTCCATCCCCAAGAGTATGACTCATTTTTCTTATAGACATTGTTCCTATGCAAAAATTGATATGCTAGCTGGCAATATTAAACTATTTAACTGTTACATAAGCATGCCATTCAACATGTGACAATGTGACAATTGCCATGTAATAATCTTTCTCCATGTACTTCTAGCCTTACTTAGATACTCACCTTAAACACACAACTTCATATTTTACTATTCAAGTATTTTTCTTATTTCATTATAGTATGCCAAAAATATTTATAACACATAGAAATTAAAACTAGAAAAAACTTGAATTACTGTGTAGAGGTACATAAAACTATTAATTTAGCAGATCATAGCTACAGTCGCAGAAATAGGTACTTTAACAGAAAGAAAGGCCACAAGACAGTAGAGTGAAGCGAAGGCCCCTCACTTAACAGTGATAAGAAGTAGAGAACACATTGATCAGATGCTACATTTTTATTTTTCAGAAAATACGTTTGCAAACCCGGGCATAAGATGGTGAGCATACAAAGCTATAATAAGGGGGCACTTGATTAAACTGGGTATTTATGAAAATTAAAATTAGAGAGAGTCCCTTGGCTGATTTACATCTTACTTTATAAAATTTGGAACAAAATAACAAGAATAGACCTATGAAGGAAGGTGCAGAAAACATTAGGCATGTCAAAGAGCGGATAAATGAATTAAATATGACCAGAATTTCTAATAATTTTTAACAATTGAAACAACATTGGTATATTAAAAATAACCGAGTAGGTAAAATGCTTACTAACAAATTAAAAAAACAATCTGCGGAGATTAGGATAGATAAAATAATCCATACTAATAAAATCTATAGATCTCCTAAAGAGATGTCTAATTCTTGTAACTTTGATCAATTCTTGAATGGTATTCAAACACCTAAAATTAGTCTACAAAAGAAAACATCACTTGACAAAATCATCCATCTGAATGAGGTTATTAAGGCTATTGATACATTAAAAAATAAAAAAAACACTGGTCCGGATGGTTTCAGTGCCCACTTTTATAAAATTCTTAAAATTCTTAAAGCAAAAATAGCCCCTGAACTGTTATAAGGGTTTAATGATTATATCAATCAGTCCAAATGCCCGGCAGAATTTTTTGGCAGCTAATATCCTTCCTATACTCAAGCAGGATAAGGATCCAACTCCCTCAAAAACATTACAGACCAATATCCCTTATCAATGCCGATGCTAAAATGTTTGCGTCCATAATGATGGACAGACTTAAGCTGCTTATTGCTCAGGTCATCTCTAAGGATCAAATAGGTTTTGTCCCCGGTCGAAGCTCTATAAATAAAATCCGAAGGATAATTGATATTCTCGATATAGCTAAGAGAGAACATAAAGAACTAGTTATTTCTCCGTTAGACACAGAAAAAGCTTTCGACTGGATGGATTGGGGTTTTATTATGTGGTATTTAAAAAGGTTTGGTTTTAGAGATCTATTCTGTAGAGCAATAAAGGCTTTGTATAGTAAACCCATTGCAAAAACTATTGGGCAAAATATCTTTGCTGACTAGTTTAATCTGGGGACTGGCACTAGGTAGGGCTGCCCACTGTCTCCATTATTGTACCTTTTAACAATCGAAATATTGGCAATTCGTATAAGATCAGACGGAAATATCCACGGATATGTACTACCCCAGAATAAATACAAGATCAGCATGTACGCTGATGACATTCTTTTGACCCTTACGAGGCCTGATCGGTCACTGCCTGCTATGATGGATGTAATTTATAAATATTCTGAAATATCTAATTATGTATTGAATTCTGATAAAACAATATTTATGGCCCTTAACATAGAGTATTTAAAAAAAATGGTTACGACAATGCTTTAACTATTTTTGGACTGAAGACTTTACTTACCTGGGGATTAAGATCTCTCCAGAAGTAGGGAACATCCTAGAACTAAAATTTTTTGGCCTTATTAAAGGAGACAAACTATGCTCTAAAAGGATGGAAAAACTAAAATCTTTCTTGGGTTGGAAGGATTAATACGGTCAAAGCATATATTATCCCTAAATGGTTGTATATGTTTAGACATCTCCCCATACAAATACCTGAAAGTTGGTTTAGTTTGGCTCAGAGATCTATTTCTCGATTTGTTTGGCAGAGTTAAAGACCCCGTATTTGCATTAAGAGGGTGGTATTACAAGTGAAATATGGAGGACTAGGTATGCCAATTTAAAAAAAAAACCTATTACTTAGCTAACATGATTGGCCACATATATCTGATGCAGACTCCGCAGATATGCAAAGAGAGCTGGTTTCAAATTGAATTACATCTGACTCAACAGCGAGATTGTAGTAGCTTCATTTGGGAGACCCAAAGTTATAGATGGCGAGATCTCGGCGATGAAGAAAAAGAAAAAGCTAGGAATACAGGATAAAATAATTGAGACTATTGGCATTGGCGTATTAACCAAAAACATTCCCGATTTAGCCATAGATAAATGGATTGAATCTGGTATTTTCAAGGTAGCTGACCTTTACACTAATGGAACACTTAAATCCTTTTCTGAGCTAAGCTTAGAATGTAATCTTCCCATTTAGGAAATTTTCTCTTTCTTAAGAATCAAACGCTTTTTACCGCAGACAGTTGAGAGTGGGGATGAACATAAATTAGGCCTTTTAAAAAAGATATTCTGTGAGAAATTAGTTTCTAAAGTTATGTCAACGGCTTATTTACTAATTTCCTATATAGATCGAGGAGATGGTCATAAGAATATAGAGAAATGGAAAAAATTACTTGACAGATATAAATTGTGAAGATTGGCTTTTGGCTATAAAAAAGTATAACAGGGATATCCATTGCACTAATATTCTTGAAAACCAATATAAAGGGATTACTTTCTGGTATATGGATCTCTTGTTAATGAATAAGTTTACTCCTAACTCTAATTCTAAGTGTTGGAGATGTGATATTGAGGGGGCAGATTATCTCCACATGTTAAGTTATGGAAATTGATCTTTCTAATGATGACTTGGCATTAAATCTTGGTATTATTTTATGTGAGATTTTTGACTGACTATATGCTGTGTATTGGTTAATAGGGAACATTCTTTCTTATGTATAAGAAGTACTACAACACATGGTTTTGTGTAAAAAAAAATGTATATGTTTATATGTCTATTCATGAAAAGGAAATATATAATAAAGAATTACTGATTTAAAAAAACAGAAGAGAAACAGTATCAAACTATTAAAAAAAGAGAAACAATGTCTTAAAACCTGCTGAGTATAGAGTTTTTACATGGTAAACTTGTAAACTAATAAAATGTATAAAATATTTGTAAAATGTAATAGATACAGTTAGCAACTTAAAACTCCAATGAAAGCCAGACGTGGTTGTCTTGTATATACTGTAATAATTTGGTTAACTAAGAGTTAAAGATGGAATATAATGAGCCAAAATGAGAATGGTGAGAAATATTCACAGATGTACAGACACGTTCATTTTCTTCCCTCGTTACTCATAAAGAGTCTTTTCTTGAATATTCTGCACTACTTATTTGTTCTGGCGAATTCTGTGAGCACCTCCGACCCATCACCAACCCCAGAGGGTCCTGTGAATCCAACAAAATCGGAAAATGTAACATTCCTTTGCGAGAAAGCTGTGGTTACATGACCAACACAGGATTCTGCAACACAGACCAATATCAGAACAATGCAAGAGTTCAGACTTCTCTGGGAAGCTAATATTTGAGTGAAAGTTTCATGAAGAAAGATAATAAACTCAAGTAAATATGTGTGTGCTCAAGAAGGTCAAACACTTGTGATCCAGTCTTCGCTATTCTTCTTATTATGTTTATCTTGCAGACTCTAAAGACAAAATGGTTTGCCACTGTACACATAGATCAGCACATTGGAAACACATAATACAATACATACCTTAAATTAAGACTGTCTACTAGTATCACATGGTTTCTTTCTACTTAAAATGGAGTTCAAAAATAACAGCAAAAATAGCAGCAAAAGAAAATACAGTAAGTTAGAAACTGCTACTCTTTTTACGAAAATAATATGGACTAACAGGAGATTAAATTTATGGATATTCATAGCTTGGTTTTAATTTAGATTTCAAATACTATTAAACAAAAATAGTCAAATTTAGATAATTGTAAGCATACGTTTTTTAAAAAAGTTTATATTCTAAACATAAATAGCATACAATAAAATAAGAGTAGACATATTAATAATTTGCTGATTAAAGTTCCATAGTTGACAAGAGACATATGTCCGTCAAGTTCGGCTTTCTCACATCTGTATTATGCTGTTGATCCGAAAGAAGGTAAAAAAAACAATTTGAAGCACTTTTCAATTTTGCAGGAAACTATGAAAAAATTATAGATTGTAAATTTTATGACTACAGAAAAAAGATTTGCAAATTATTCAAAGCCATTTTAAAGCATCAATGTGGGATAATATGCAGTTTCATGCTAGTCATATTTTCAGTGTTCCTTTTTCTTGGCTATTTATCACAATAACACAATTATTTTCACTATCTTAATTTGAGGTAGTGAAAGCACAAACAAAAATGTCAGAGAATGTGTTTTATTGTAAGTCTTTTTCCTATACTATACATTTTTATATTTACTTTTTTGAATGTGTCTGCTTCATATATGGCCCAATTTTGTACAGTCATATACATTTCATGCTGAACACTAGATAGAATAACCAGTTTCACTGTTGTGCGAGTTTCTCACAAATAAATTTGGAATAGACTACCAAAAATCAGTGAAACGTTACCTGCATTCTAAGTCAAGTGGCTTGG